GGGAGGCAGAGATTGCAGTGAGCTCAGGTCGTGCCACTGCACTCCAGCCTGGGCAACAGAGTAAGACTCTATCTCCCCCACCCCGTCAAAAAAAGGAAAATAAAAAACGAGTTCTGTCTCAAAAAAAATTAAAAAAAGGAAAAAAAAGAACATTCTGCTATGTTGAAAAAAAGTCTCGTAAGTATTAGAGAAAAATTTACTATCTCCCATCCCCACAACCTGATGATTCCCTACCCTAGCAACATACTATTAAAAAAGCCACCCAGGGCTGGGCATGGTGGCTCACGCCTGTAATCCCAGCACTTTGGGAGGCTCAGGCGGGCAGATCACGAAGTCAGGAGTTTGAGACCAGCCTGACCAACATGGTGACACCCCATCTCTACTAAAAATACAAAAATCAGCCGGGCGTGGTGGCATGTGCCTGTAATTCTAGCTACTCAGGAGGCTGAGGCAGGAGAATCGCTTGAACCCAGGAGGTGGAGATTGCAGTGAGCCAAGGTCGCACCACTGTACTCCAGCCTGGGTGACAGAGCAAGACTCTATCCCCCACACCCCGGAAAAAGCCACCTGTCAGTGTTAGGGTGAAAGAACGTGACTGAAACAGTAAGACAAAAATAATATTTGGTGGCCATTAGGAGATTACCTGTGTAATATACCAATTCCTCCCAGCCGTGTTTGTGCCATGCAGCATTCCGTATGTCTTCCCTGGTCTGAAGATCCCTGTAGGCTTAAAAATAACCAAACAGAGAAGTAAGACTTAAAACGTACACCCCACATTTCACCTGCACATCTGTTAAGGTCTTGCTTTACTTGGGAATCTAGTTTTCTCAGGGACTACTTCAGGTGTATACTACTGAGCTGGGAAAATTGTGAGCTGGTTATTCTGAGCAAAATTATATTAGGCCATGTGGGAAAAGCAAAATTTCAGTCTTTTTTTTTTTTTGAGACAGGGTCACTCTGTCACCTAGGCTGGAGTGCAGTGGCACGATGCTGGCTCACTGCAGCCTTGACCTTCCAGGCTCAAGTGACCCTCCCACCTCAGCCTCCCGAACAGCTGGGACTACAGACATGTGCTACCACATGGGCTAATTTTTGTCTTTTTTTGTGCCCAAGCAGGTGTCAAACTCCTGGGCTCAAGTCATCAGACTGCCTTGGCCTCCCGAAGTGCTAGGATTACAGGTATGGGCCACCATGCCTGACCCATTCCTTTTCTTAAGTTAAAAAAATTATTTACTTGTTTGTTTGTTCGAGATGGGGTCTCACTATGTTGCCCAGGCTGGTCTCAAACTCTTGGACTCAAGTGATCCTGACTCAGCCTCCCAAACTGCTGGGATTTGAGGTGTGAGCCACCACAACTGGCCACAATCCCCTCTAAAGCTTTACAATCTAGTGAATACGAGATATGCCTTTATGAACCAAGTGAACTTCTCTAACAACACGTTAAATTCATGACCAGAAACTGAGACCACAGATAAACAATGTCAGATTCAATTCAACATTTATCTTGCACGACACCGATCTGGGCAGGGGCTGTGTTCCGTGCCGTGAAGCCCCAGGATATGAGGCAGGCAAGGTCAGCTGTGGAGTGCCGGGCCCACGCTAGGACATGGCGCTCAGGGGAGCATGGCGGGGAATGACAGAGCTTCTGGAAATGTGCGAGCTGACCAGGTGGGTGTTGAAGCTGAAAAAGAATCACTGACGTAGGAATGAGAAGGTGCCTCAGGTGAAGGGGGATCACCTGGGTCACAGTACAATTCACAGGTATCTCATCCAGATGCCTTGGTTCGTTTTTTTTTGTTTTTTTTTGAGATGGAGTCTCCCTCTGTCGCCCAGGCAGGAGTGCAGTGGCTCGATCTCGGCTCACTGCAACCTCCGCCTCCCAGGGTCAAGTGATTCTCCTGCCTCAGCCTCCTGTGTAGCTGGGACTACAGGCAAGCACCATCACATGTGGCTGATTTTTTTTTTTTTTTTTTTTTTTTTTTTTTTGGGACAGAGTCTCACTCTGTTACCCAGGCTAGAGTGCGTGGTGTGATCTCGGCTCACTGCAACCTCTGCCTCCTGGGTTCAAGTGATTCTCCTGCCTCAGCCTCCTGAATAGTTCGGACTACAGGTGCGTGCCACCACACCTGGCTAATTGTTTTGTATATTTTTTTAGTGGAGACAGCATTTCACCATATTAGCCAGGATGATCTCAATCTCCTGACCTCAAGATACTCCCGCCTCAGCCTCCCAAAGTGCTGGGATTACAGGTGTGAGGCACCGCACCGGGCCTAAATTTTTGTATTTTTAGTAGAGATGAGGTTTCACTATGTTGGCCAGGCTGGTCTCTAATTCCTGACCTCAGGTGATCCATCCACCTCGGCCTCCCAAAGTGGTGGGATTACACGTGTGAGCCACTGTGCCCAGCCAATATCTTAATTATATATATATATATATTTTGAGACAGTCATGCTCTGTTGCCCAGGCTGGAGTGGCACAGTCATGGCTTACTCATGCAGCCTCGAACTCCTGGCCTCAAGCAATCCCCCTCCTCATCTTGCTGTTGCTCTGTGAAGTCTGAGTCCTCCCCACAGGGCAAAGACATGGGGTCTGCCCTGTGTTCCCACAGCCTCTATGAGAGCTCCGTATTCACATTCTGGTGCCTGACTGTTTGCAGTTCCAGGCTCCTGCATCTGGGAGGCCCTCTCCAGGCAGCTACAGGTGCTGATGTGAATGGAGCATGCACCTGGCTTGACCTCTGCCCGACAGCCTAAGGGACGGAACCTTCATCTATCCAATCCGGCCCATATAGCACCTGTCCTTATTAAGAGACAGGAATGCCTGGGAGGGCTGCATACTGCAGAAGCTACAACAGTAATGACAGTTCCACTCAGGGCTCTGGGGGCTCAGGAGGAGTGATGAGGTTCACTAGTAGGGACAGGGTGACATCTGGGGCAGGCCTGGAAATACACCAAAGACCGTACCAAACAAAAGTGGGTGGGGATGGAAAAGGTGTGGGGTCTGTGTCCTAAGACAGTGGAACCACGTCACAAAAGCAGGCAGTGAGACTGTGCAGGGAGCTGCTGTTCTGGGGAAAAGGCAGGCCTGTCTGCTGAGGCAGTAGCAAGTCAGTCTATACAAAAAGGCTGGGCCCACTCTGCAGAAGGCACTCGGCCTTCCCTGGCCTCCTCCTCCCATGGCTGCCTGCTCACCCCTTCTTCCTTTCTCCATCATCCCCAGTCATTTTCAGCTCACTAATGCCACGTATCTGTGGACTTTCACTGCTGGCCTTGCTAGTCCCAGACAGCCTCATGCATACTGTCCCTCTGTGATGTCTGGATCTGCTGCAGTGGTTAAGGTTACTGACCCAAGATGTGCTCTACTGCCCAGTACAACTTAGTAATGAACTCTAAAATCTGAACAACTTGAAAAGAAAGAAAAAAACAGATACCCCAAAGATGGTGGACCATGTACAGCTGCCCGATCTGAGAGAAGAATCCTCCCACAGCTTCGTTACCATCCTGTCTGAAGCGGATCGCGCGAGCCCTATAAGAGTGAGGCGATGTTGAAGACACTGAATCAGATACACTAGCGAGAAACAGTAGACCAAGTTTCCCCATCCTCAGGGCAGGCTATTCAAAATGGGGACTAATTGCTTATCAAATTGTTATCAAGTTCTCTAATGCAAATAAGTTACTTTATTATTTTTGAGATGGAGTCTCATTCTGTCACCCAGGCTGGAGTGGAGTGGCACAGTCTTAGGTCACTGCAACCTCCGCTTCCCGGGTTCAAGCGATTCTCCTGCCTCAGCCTCCTGAGTAGCTGGGATTACAGGTGTGCACCACCACGCCTGGCTAATTTTTGTATTTTTAGTAGAGACGGGGTTTCACCACATTGGCCAGGCTGGTCTTGTACTCCTGACCTCAAGTGATCTGTCCACCTCAGCCTGCCTAATTGCTGGGATAACAAGTGTGAGCTGCTGTGCCCAGTTCAGAGCCCTTTAATGTAAACACCTTTCACACTTGCGTCAGATACTTAAAAATATATATATTTAGCCAGGCGTGGTGGCTCACGCCTGTAATCCCAGCACTTTGGGAGGCCAAGGCGCGTGGATCACTTGAGGTCAGGGGTTCGAAACCAGGCTGTCCAGCATGGTGAAACCCTGTCTCTACTAAAAATACAAAATTAGCTGGGCATGGTGGCAGGCGCCTGTAATCCCAGCTACTCGGGAGGCTGAGGCAGGAGAATCGCTTGAACCTGGGAGGCGGAGGTTGTAGTGAGCCAAGATTGTGCCACTGCACTCCAGTCTGGGCAACAAGAGCAAAACTCCATTTCAAAAGAAAGTGCGTGTGTGTGTGTGTGTCTGTGTGTGTATAGTGATGCATCTAAATTCCTAAAAATGTTTTTAAAATGTACCTATTTTTTCAAAAGCAGTTTTTTAGATCAAAGGTGAAAAGGAAGGGAGTTCAAATGATATAGGGAGGTCACCAGAAGATGCACAGTTAAGTTCTATCAGGAGATTACACACCCAGTCAACCCATACCACTCTGCCCAGGCTCTGGCCTGAAGTCTCAGTCACATTAGGGTTCCACAGCTGACAAGACTTGGGAAGACAGATTCATTCTAATTCATTCAAAAGAGCTGGCAGCATATAAACAAGGACAGCAACCTACTAATACTGACGGTAAAAGACGTCACTCTCAAGGCACAAGATGCTTGAGTTGGCCTGGCTGAGCATTCTCTTCCTGGAGGCAAACCTCATATGTACTGAATGATGACATCTCAAAAGGAGGAACAAAATCCAAGCAAGAGTGATTTCTTGTGAGTGATGAAGTCTTTCCACATGCAGGGTCTCTCTCTGTCACCCAGACTGGAGCACAGTGGCATGATCTCAGCTGACTGCAGCCTCGAATGCTTGGGCTCGAGGGAGCCTCCTGCCTTGGCCTCCTGACTAGTTGAAACTTTAGCCCTGCACCACTAAGCACAGCAAATTCTTTTTTTTTTTCTCTTTTTTAGAGACAGGGCCTTGCTATGTTGCCCGGGCTGGTCTTGAACTCCTGGGCTCAAGCGATCCAGTCTCCTTAAAATCACTCGACACCTCTGCTCTAATCCACCTTGAGCTAAATGCCACAATGGGGACCTTACCTAAGCACTCCGGTTCCTTTAGGGTAAAAAAGGGACTTCTTGCTATTGTCCCCATAGATTTTTAGCCACAAATAAGATGACATCTTTAATCTTAACATTGAGAATTAAGTGATCAATATCTTCACACAAAATTACAAATCTGATTATTGAAATTAAGCAAATCACTTCAATGTGCATTCTAACTCTATTCAGAAGAACAAAACCTGGCTTTCATTAATAGTGATAAATATTCCAGATTATTCATTTCATTCTGAATTTTTGTAATTTAGTTGTGATAGGCAAACAAAACATACTTGCCTTAGCCTGGTAACAATCAGAAGCCTGTATAGACGAGGTGGTCACCATCTTAAATAGTTACCTATGTGCCAAAATATAAATTGAATGCTGAACTGACTTTATAAATAACTTTTTTTTTTGAGACAGACTTTCGCTCCTGTTGCTGGGGCTGGAGTGCAGTGGTGCAATCTCGGCTCACTGCAACCTCCACTTCCCGGGTTCCAGTGATTCTCATGCCTCAGCCTCCTGAGTAGCTGGGATTACAGGCATGCACCACCATGCCCAGCTAATTCTGTATTTTTAGTAGAGACGGGGTTTCTCCATGTTGGTCAGGCTGGTCTTGAACTCCCGACCTCAGGTGATCCACCCGCCTCAGCCACCCAAAGTGCTGGTATTACAGGTGTGTGCCTCTGCACCCGGACAAATTTTAAAAGTTAACTGAATAACCTAGGTATGTCCCTGTGGATTCCACGAGGATCACGTCTTGATCAGCAATGTGCAAAAACTGAACCAGTGAGTGATCCTGTTCTGTCAACAGCTCAATGACGAACACCAGTAGTCCAAAAACAAAAGCACAAAAATTGTATATAATAGTTGCATATAATCAAATATGTATGTCTTAGTTTTCAAATAAGAAATTCTAACTTGTATGATTTAGCCTTTGATGATCTAACGAGGAAAGATTCATTAGAAATAAAGATGACAGAACTATTTGTTGGAGGTAGAGGGGATCTCAGGAATTATTTCATGCACAGCAGGAAACTTCCTAACCAAAACAAGAGAAAAACAGGGGCTGGGCACAGTGGCTCATGCCTGTAATCCCGGCACTTTCGGAGCTCAGGCAAGCAGGTCACTTGAAGTAGGAGTTTGAGAACAGCCTGGCCAACATGGCAAAATCCTGTCTCTACTAAAAATACAAAAAATTAGCCAGGTGTGGTGGTGCATGCCTGTAATCCCAATTACTTGGGAAACTGAGGCAGGTGACTCGCTTGAACCCTGGAGGGAGAGGCTGCAGTGAGCCAAGATCACGGCACTGCACTCCAGCCTGGGTGACAGAGCAAAACTCCATCCCAAAAAAAACAAAACAAAACACGATATAAGTTGAATATAAGAAAAAGGCACAAGGATATAAGTTCTCATTTAAAGGTAAAGAAACTAAGAGTAGCCACGTGCAGTGGTTCACGCCTGTAATCCCAGCACTTTGGGAGGCCAAGGCAGGGGGATCACAATGTCTGGAGTTCGAGACCAGCCTGATCAACATGGTAAAACCCGTCTCTACTAAAAATACAAAACTTAGCCAAGCGTGATGGTGGATGCCTGCAATCCCAGCTACCTGGGTGGCTGAGGCCGGAGAAGTGCTTGAACCTGAAAGGTGGAGGTTGCAGTGAGCTGAGATCATGCCACTGCACTCCAGCCTGGGCAACAGAATGAGACCCTGTCTCAAAAAGAAAAAGGAAGCCAAGAGTGAGAGCCGTCAAGTAACTCACACCCAGGGCTTTTTCTCAGCACCATGTGGCCTCCCTCTTTGCAGGTGAATAATGTTATGAAATGCCTGTAGGAAACAGAAATGGCACGTTTCCAAAGAAAAGTAAGTTAACGTAACTACTTCAAAGGAACACAGACCCCCTCCAACAAAAGAAAAAAAAAAAACTGAGGTACAGAAATGTCAAGTTTCAAAGAAAAAAAAGCCCAAAATCTTTTATTGAATTAGATAAACATGTATGCTTACTTCAGATTCTTTTAGGAAACTACTCCAGTGTTTCAAAATTAATATATATAGTTTGAGATGGAGTCTCGCTCTGTCACCCAGGCTGGAGTGCAGTGGCGCCATCTCGGCTCACTGCAGCCTCACTGCTGGGACTACAGGTGTGGCCACCACGCCCAGGTAATTTTTTTTTTTGTATCTTTAGTACAGACAGGGTTTTACCATGTTGGCCAGTCTGGTCTCAAACTCCTGACCGCAAGTGATCTGCCTGCCTTGGCCTCCCGAAGTGCTGGATTACAGGTGTGAGCCACCAGGCCTGGCCAATAGTTCAAGCTTCCAAAGAAATCTCATAATGAAATATGGAGGCTGGTAAAAAGAAAACACCAACAATCTCACCATCACAGAACCCTACATGTCACCAGTGCTTTTCTTTCCATTTCCTGTCCCAGGCACTGACTTCAGCTAACCAATGACCAATAGTTTATCCCTGCATCCCTCTTAATCGTCGAGGCTTTTTTTTTTTTTTTGAGACAGGTCTTGCTCTGTTGCCCAGGCTGGAGTGTAGTGGCATGATCATAGCTCACTGCAGCCTCAACCTCCTGGGTTCAGTGATCTTACTGCTCAGCCTTCAGAGTAGCTGTGACTACAGGCATGCACCACTGCACCTGGCTAATTTTGCATTTTTTGTAGTGGATGAGGTTTTACTATGTTGCCAAGGCTGGTCTTGAACTCCTGGGCTTAAGGGACCTTCCCACCTTAGCCGCCCAGTATTGAGATTAAAGGCATAGGCCATAGCACCCAGCCTACCGAGGATTTATATGTCTTCTTATCTTTTAATAGTCAGGATATCCCAAAAGTGTTGTATCACAATGGTGAAAGCTGGTATTTTGTTACAATTGTATCAGTGTGCTTCTTGTGTTTCACCATTCAGTTTAAGGTAGTTGCTGGGAGGACAAGAACAGATTTATGATTTAAATCAGGGCTGGTAAACTGGCCCTCTGGCTAAACCGCACCGTCTGTTGATGGGCATTTGGGTTCTTTCTACCTGTTGGCTGTTATAAAACATGCTGCTATGAGCACTTACAGTTTATATGGATGTTTGCTTTCTAACTTGCATTATTTAGGCTTTGATGACCCAAGAAGTAAAGATTTTCACTTA